CTCCCCTGTCACGGCAGAGAGCCGTGACAGGATCGAGAGGTGAGCGAATGCCGGAATGTGTTCTCTCACCTCCCGATCTACTGAGCCGACCTGTGACAGTCTCATTGTCACAGGTCGGCTAGAACTATGAGGTGAGTGAAAAGCACGCCCCTCATAGTTCTCCTTTAATAGCTACTGTGATGCACACAGAGCTCTCACCTGAATAATGTCCAACGTGACGTCCGCCCAGTACAAGCAGTTACTGTCGTAGTCAAAATCCAAAGCCACCGCACCCCGTAGACCCTTCAGCGGCAGTTCCTCGCTGACCCCAGAGGAGAGGTCGTGGCGGAATATGGCGTTCCTCATGGCGTACAGGATGAACTCATTCTCCTCTTTAAAAAGAGAAAAATGAAGTTACAAGAAATCTAGCTTTGCTAAAGTGAGTGTGTGATGGTAGAAAGATGGAAGGATAGAAAGATAGACAGACAGAGTCGTTGTACACTTACAGGGTTTAGGGGGCCTCAGCCGTGGCCCCTGACAGCTCCAAAGGACTGCAAATAATATTTAATATTCGGTACAAGTCAGAAGACTGTCAAGAGACTTCAGACATACTACAGGAGACAATCAGAGACCATAGACATGCAACAGGGATGCTTGGAAGCTGGAGGCACACTATAGAGACTAGGACATAATACATGAGACTGGCAGAGCTCGCTGTCATCATGGCCTCTTTACAAATGAATGCTTTCACGACTGCTGGGTAGTTACAAAAGGCCACACGGCAAGCATCATAGGGCCGCATGTGGCCTTCGGGCTGCGGGTTAGGCACCAGGGATATATGCGCTACACAAACTATTTCATAACTTTCTCTTACTAAGATTTACATTCCCATTTTAATCTGCTGCCAGATATGGATTTCTATAAAGTTCCAAAATATCCAATGCTGCCGCCTTGAAACACTGGGTAGCTCAGTACAATTGCTGTGCACAAAAGTCCCCCGTGAATCTAATTTCCTGCTCATGTGATTTGTCTCACTGCTTTTCCCAGAAGTCTGCATGGTTCCTGAAGTCAAAAAACAGGTATCCTCTGCTATAGAAGTTTTATCTTTGGTACAGTTTTCTGGGATTCTCCTGCATGCATTAAGGGATAGCCAGGGTTGCAGAATTTCTATTTACAATGCAGACTGGTCAGGTGGTAACAATGAAAGTAGACTCCACCATTTCCTGTAGCATTCAGTTTTATGAAGGGCAAAGTTCAGTTTACTAATACCCCTTACTATGGATGCAGCTCATCCAGAGGGGATTTTTATCAACATAATTGGAGTTTGGTGTGGACAGTGAAAGAACACATTGTGCCACATGGAAGAGAGGGAGCCGTCAGTGGGGTTTAATGCATCTCAAAGGCCTATAGATAAATATAATAAGTACTGTTTCAGCCTACAGGATCTCATCAGTGTGGAGATGCTGGTTCTTGCACTTGCCCGGAGGCATCGCTTGAAACCGCTGTTCTCGTACTACGATGAAGTTACTCCTGCAGAGCTTTGCGTGGTAATTAGAATGCAAAAGGCTGAAGCAGTCCACAGGTTGGTCTCCAAGCTCAGCAAAAGCAGCGTGATGTTTTAGCCAATCTAGACAATTTACCTCCCACAGGACACGGGACGTCTTCTCCGTCCAGTCGGGTCTCCACATCTCCCCCGGAACACGTGTCTCCGGAAATCCTGCGATAACTAAATCGAGGACCTAACTGTTAAAACTTGCAGCAATGGTGCATCAGCTCTGTGACGTCATAGACAGCATGCAAAGAATACAAATCTAAAGGCGATATGACTGGTAACCTCTGTGACTGCTTTACATGTTCATCAATGTATTAAACTCAGGACGTACTGTGCTGAGGTTACAGCTAATCGCAGATCAGAACCACCAATGACATGCAGAGAACAAAGTGCACACATGGCTGCCTGAATGTTGTATATGTTAAATCTCTTTCTACAGCAATGTTATCAGAATCCTGCTGGTCCCAGTGTACGTCTCCTTCTAGACCAGCGGTTCTCAACCTGTGGGTCGGGACCCCTTCAGGGGTCGAATGACGATTTGCCAGGGGTCGCCTGGGAGTCTCTTGCTATTCGATAGCGGCTCCCGGCCGCCTGGGAGAGAAACACTTTCTCCCGAGCAGAGTAAACCTTTCTTGTCTGACATTGGGGGCCGTAGGCCGCCGTAAGTCAGGAAAAAAAAAAAAAACACCCTAGGAATGCATAGCTAGATTCCTATTGGCTATTTCACTTTGCAATAGCCAATAGCAAACTAGCGATTGCACCGCCCTCTGCTGCTGCCAATCAGCAGAGGGGGACCTGAAGTTCTCCATCGGGTCCCCACTACTGATTGACAGCAGCAGAGGGCGGGTGCAATAGCTAGTTTGCTATTGGCTATTGCAGAGTGAAATAGCCAATAAGAATCTAGCTATGCATTCCTAGGGTGTTTTTTTATTTTTATTATTCTGATGGCGTACGGCTCTTCCGAGGGGTCACCCTGCCTCCAGCAGCCAACACTTAGGATATAATTTATATAAATGCAGTCACAGCCAATGTAGCCATGATCTTGCAAATGAAGGATGATAAATAAAAGTCGCAAAAGTCGCTGCCCTAACTGACTCACCTCACGATCTGTCTTCCAATAGCTGAGTGAGCATAACAGTAACGACTAAGCCCCGGAGTCTTTTAAATTCCTCCTTACCGTGGGGCTCCGATATTGTTATACACAGTCAGGAACTCGGACACAGTAATAGTGAGGTCAAGCAGTGGACCAGAAGCAACTCTAAGACTTCAGTTCACCTCTCATTCTTGAATATCATGGCCATGGCTCAATACCATGGTGGTTTTCCTATGCCATGGTGGTTTAACATTAAAGGAGAACTATGAGGTGAGTGCTTCTCAGTCACCTCATAGTTCTAGCCGACCTGTGACAATGAGACTGTCACAGGTCGGCTCAGTAGATTGCCCCCTCGGCTGGATTCCCCCCTCCCCGCTCTGATCCACCAACGCTGACTGGCGGTACGGACGGGGGAGGGGGCGGGTACAGCTGGCTCTGCCTCTAGATAGGCAGATCCAGCTGTCACTCATGCAGCTGGGCGGATCCAGACATCGATGTCGGGATCCGCTTCCGGCTGCAGCGTCTTAGTATACCGCGAGCTGTAGCTCCCTATATACTGAGCTTTGGGTGACGGGAGAACGCTAGTTTGTGTCCTCACGTTACCCTAAGGAGAACTTTGGGGAAAAGCCCTGACCCCATAGTTCTCCTTTAACTGCTCTGGGGAGGGGATACTACAAGTGAATATAACAGAGCGAGACCATGACCCGCTCAGACACGCCAGGAGGGCCGGACTGCAGCACTCACCCTCTGCTCCTCTTGTACGAGGTGCCCACAGGGCAGGGCGAGGGTATGGGGTACAGCTTCCCAGCAAATTCAGGGTCGGGAACACAGTCCTCCAGTCTCAGGTCTTGATTGAGCTTGAAGCCGTAGTCACTGCAGAGGAAATCAAGTTGTGTTTAGATGTCAAATTGAAAAAGAATGTGAAATTTAAAAAAACAAAAGTGTACGTCTGACAAAAATCACTGATGACCTCATATCTGTGCCCGATTCCCCCTGCAAGCTAGCTCCCAGTGTCAAACCCACAGCTCTGTGCAATGCAAAGCGGCCTGGTTGGCCCACACTGCTCACCCACCTGTAACCTGTATGGCAGGCTAATATAAAGACACATTTCAAGTACTTATATTGTCAGTAAAAAAATTTTTAATACTTAAAAGGAGAACTATGGGGTCAGGGCTTTTCCCCATAGTTCTCCTTAGGGTAACAGGAGGACACAAACTAGCGTCCACCCGTCACCCTAAGCTCAGTATACCACGAGCTACAGCTCATTGTATGCTGAGACGCCGCAGCCGGAGCGGATCCCGACATTGATGTCGAGATCCGCCCAGCTGCGTGAGTGACAGCTGGCTCTGCCTATCTAGAGGCAGAGGCAGCTGTACCCGCCCTCTCCCCCGTCCGTTCCGCCAGTCAGCGCTGGCGGATCGGAGCGGGGAGGGGGGAATCCAGCCACTCCCCTGTCACGGCAGAGAGCCGTGACAGGATCGAGAAGTGAGCGAACGCCGGCATGTATTCGCTCACCTCACGATCTACTGAGCCGACCTGTGACAGTCTCATTGTCACAGGTCAGCTAGAACTATGAGGTGAGTGAAAAGCACTCCCCCTCACCCCCCCTCATAGTTCTCCTTTAATGTACAGCTGTAGCTTTATACTAAAACCTTGTTAGGGTTCACCCATCCCAACACCCATATGGGGAATAAGGCAAAGGGCAAACTCCACTCCGGTCAGTAAATTGTTATAAAAAAACAAACAAGCAAAATAAAATAAGAAAAGCAAATGAAACCATAAATAACAACAGCACTAGATATTCGCATCTCCAACCTTCTTGCAGACACACATCAAGCCGTGGTCTAGTTAGAGAAGTACTCGCCCATACAGAGAGGGCACCTTTGCTGGCACCCAACCCCCTGCAGGCAGGCAATACACCCCACAAAGGTCAACGATATTAATAAGAAAACGCCACCTACCACTCAAAGTCTTTCCTTGTACAGGAGCAGTTGGAAGAAGTAATTGGCCGATCGAAATCTTCTCCATTGAAGCAGGTGGCGTGGGGCGTTCGTCTCTTGAAAACGGTCTTTCTCCCCAATAAGCACTCGTTGCCTCGCTCGTCAGAGGGCGACCACAACTTATAGTCATTTTCTGTGCACGGCACGCCTGCAGCAACAACAATGCCAAAGATTACGTCACCGTCCTGGCCGAGTCTGCGCATTAGCGCCCCATAGACTTCAATGAGGCCGGAGAGTATTGCAGAGGGTCCTATAGAGGTCCATGGGGATGTAAAGCAGAGGCATGGCCAGGATAGCACACCACTGCATGTAAACAAGCAACAGAACCACGGCCACTGGACTGAGGTAAGTATGCATCCCTGGAGGGGGAATTGGATTAGGCCAGGGGGAAGGGGGCAAAAATTGATACCTGCACTTTGTTTTAAAGTTCACTTACCCTTTAAAGAGGCAAAACATGGGGAAAAGTGCATGTATAGGCAGTGATGTAATGAATATGCAGGGTTAGGGCTCTGTCCTCTAAATCTGTATATAATATAATAACAGACAGGGGAACTAAGTGCTGCACAGGTTCCAGCGGTCTCCCAAAAAACGGATTTGCCAGTAAAAGTGCGAAGCCCAACTAGGTGACTTTCTTAAACGGTTGCTCTACCTTTCCAGCCAAAACCTTATCCCAGGCCCCCTCATCGTTTTCCTGCTTTGAGAAATCAGTTTGGTTTTCCATGCAAGTGTTGAATTATCCTTTACTAAAGCACAGAGCAAAGTGCGGGGTGCATTACCCACCTGCACGCAGCACATCAAACCCTGTTCTGCTTTCCATTGAGGGAAGCCAATTCCCGACTGGCTGCTATATATAATATGACTGAGCACATCATCGCTAATCTCATTGCAGCATTAATGGAGGAGGTGCGGTAATTACAATCCAGCGGACCTGGGACATAACGGCATCACAATAAGAGGTTCGTACCGAGGACGTCACTTGTGTTGACCTGTAATATGACCCAGCTGTGTCCCCCTCCGACATAGGATCCGAAGATGGTGAACACTGTGCTTTTCTCCCCGGGTTCGGTCAGCAGGCCGTACACGATGAGCGTGCTGTCTGAGAAGTTGAAGGTTTTCCACGTCTCTCCCTCGTTTGTGCTGTACCTGGAGAGTGAAGAAAGGACAACCGAGGATGTATGGTGAAGGGTATTACATGGCGGGTCCAGTCACTGGCTCCAGGGGGCAGCACAATATCACAAAACAAACCGCTCCCAACTTCAGAAACATGTTACAATGGACGCTGCTGTTTATTTTAGCCCTTTGCTTACGGCTTATATGTAGCTTGTCTGAAATGTGGCCAGGCATTGAGGGCGGGGGACAGGTCGTGCGTCCTAAGTGCATTATGGAAGGGTGATATCACACAATAACACTAGACTCATTTGCATACATTTAATTGGTGCACATGGCTAATGATTTTGTTATGCCCTATCTGCAGACTGCAAAACCTCAAGTCTCTATGTGATCACTATGATTTGTTATCATGGTGATCACATAATAAGGAGTCATGCTTTTTGGCTCCTTATGCTTAGTGTGTCAGTGACAGCACAGTCACTTGGTTGGGGCCTTAGTTCCCCTGACTTAAAGGAGAACTATGGGGTCAGGGCCTTAGTTCCCCTGACTTAAAGGAGAACTATGGGGTCAGGGCTTTTCCCCATAGTTCTCCTAAGGGTAACAGGAGGACACAAACTAGCGTCCTCCCGTCACCCTAGGCTCAGTATACCGCGAGCTACAGCTGGCGGTATACTGAGACGGCGGAGCGGATCCCGACATCGATGTCTGGATCCGCCCAGCTGCATGAGTGACAGCTGGCTCTGCCTATCTAGAAGCAGAGCCCGATGTACCTGCCCCCGCCCCCGTCCGTTCCGCCAGTCAGCGTTGGTGGATCAGAGCGGGGAGGGGGGTCCAGACAATTATGTCTGGACCCATCCAGCTGCATGAGTGACAGCTGGCTCTGCCTATCTAGAAGCAGAGCCCGATGTACCTGCCCCCGCCCCCGTCCGTTCCGCCAGTCAGCGCTGGAGGATCGGAGCGGGGAGGGGGGAATCCAACCCCTCCCCAGTCATGGCAGAGAGCCGTGACAGGATCGAGAGGTTAGCGAACGCCGGTATGTTCCCTCACCTCCCGATCTACTGAGCCGACCTGTGACAGTCTCATTGTCACAGGTCGGCTAGAACTATGAGGAAGAGTGAAAACCCCTCACCTCATAGTTCTCCTTTAAAGTCTGAGCTGTGCCAACTACCCCGCACAATGACACAACCTCAGTGCCAGTAAGGTCACACTAACAGGAAGGGAGGGGGGGCAGTTACTTTATTATTACAGGTATTTATATAGCAACAACAATTACGCAGTTCTTTACATAGGGCCCATTCACATCAGCCCCTACTCTAAAGGAGCTTACAATCTAAGGTACCCAATCTCACATACATACACATATTAGGGCCATTTAGCCTCCCAGCATGTCTTTGGAGTGTGGGAGGAAACCAGAGTACCCGGCAGAAACCCACACAAGCACAGAGGCAACATGCAGACTCCATACAGATAGTATTCGGGATTTGAACCGGGGACCCCTCCGCAAAGGCAGAGGTACTAACCGCTACACCAGTGGGGCAAAGCAAGAGGTTCAGTGTTCAAATCCCAATACTGACACCTAAGAAGCTAGAGACAAAGATAGGTTTTGATCCTATGCCCTATTTAGACAACACAAAATACTGTAGGGATGTCAGAAGTGATGCGTATGTAAACAATCACCTACTTCAATTGGTTGGTCTCGACACCTTGAGCAATCGCCATGAGAATGCCGCCATGGTCGCCCCAAGTGCAATAGTGCGCTCCTAGAAGAGACTGCAGAGAAAGCCTTTGTTAGGTCACAAAAATTATATTATTAAAAATTCTGCTAGCTCAGTTCGAGGCAAGACAGCAAATCAAGAGACAGCCATGAACCCAACTGATGGCTTCTGCTGCCTAATATCCATTGGACAAGTCAGACCGCAGGCACAACGGCGGCTTCCAACATTTGGTATTACGATTAAATCTGCGGTTACATCAATGAGAGCTTCTCACATTTCACAATGCATGGCTTCTGCTATGAAAATGTCTGGAGGAAGAAAAAAAAAAGGAAGTTCTTCCGCTCCTAACACACAGACTTTCCCAATATCCAATCTTACTGGTGAACCCGTCCGCTACGGGTCAGCGTTTCTCATCTCTACATTGTGTACTCTTTTAATCATCCGGTGTAAAACACACAGGAAACCAAACTGTGACACACATGAAACAAAATATGCAAATAATATCCTTAGGTTTGTGAAACAAAGCAAACACCATAAATAAAGGGAACTTTGTTATCAAATCAAAACAATGCCTCTGGTTATCTTCTTGGAATTGTTTCTCCAAACACCTCCCTGAGTATCCGCTTCAATCATTCAGTGACGGAGGTGTACGGAGAAACATAATCGTGAGAAGAGAATCACGAGCTATATTTCATTGTTTTAATTTGATAACAAAGTTCCCCTTATTTATGATTTGTGCATTGTTTTACATCACTACGCGTCTGCCTTGCCCTCTCCTGCTACAGTACTCCTGTGTATCCTAGTGCCTGCTCTGTGCTAGCTTCCAACCTGTCCCATCCCGGGACTCCTATGCCTCCAGAACATCCTGTGTCATCCCGGGACTCCTATGCCTCCAGAACATCCTGTGTCATCCCGGGACTCCTATACCTCCAGAATATCCTGTGTCATCCCGGGACTCCTATGCCTCCAGAATATCCTGTGTCATCCCAGGACTCCTATGACTCCAGAATATCCTGTGTCATCCCGGGACCCCTGTGACTCCAGTGCACATTGCATCCCTGGGTCATCCTGGGACCACCATGACACCAGAACATTCCATGTCATCCTGGGACCCCTGTGACTCCAGAACATCATGTGTCCTTCTGGGACCCCTGCAACTTCAGAATAACCCGTGTCCTCCTTGGACCCCTGTGACTCCAGAATATCCTGTGTCATCCTAGGACTTCTATGACTCCAGTGCACATTGCATCCCTGGGTCATGAAGGAACTCCTGTGACTTCAAAACTTCTGTTGTCATCCTGGAACCCCTGTGACTCCAGAACATCCTTTGTCATCCTGGGATTCCTGTGACTTCAGAACATCCCGTGTCATCCTGGGACCCTGTGACTCCAGATCAGCCCAGGTAATCCCGGGACTCCAGGTCATCCCGAGTCTTCAGAACATCCCATGTCATCCTGGGACCACTGTGACTCCAGAACATCCCATGTTAACCTGGGACCCCTGTCATTCCAGTGTACCTGATGTCCCGTGTCATCCAGGGACTCTTACAGCACCTTGTGTGCCTCCATAATATCTGTGTCTCCGTGTAGTCTCAGGTATGCTCCAGCAACCTGTCCTCCTTTCTGTGGATACTGTCCATAACATTTCTACTTTCATGATTCCTTAATGCTGGCTGGGAAACGTGCATTTAAAATCAGAAAAGAACTCCTGGCAGGCAGACATCCTGATATTCCATTCTAATCCCTAGAGCTCACTGCTTGTCCCCATTCAAAACAATTTACATTTACAAGATAATATCTGGATCTGAAAAAGGCATTTGCTGCACATAAAGTGGCTTTATATCCTTTCTAGCCATTGAATAATATCTTTAAATGAAAGTCTTTGTGCCCGGAGTTTATATTTAAAGATGATCATGCATATTAAAGGTGCACTTATTCTACAATATGTTGTTTTGCATGACTATGAGCAGGATAAAAACACAGAATTACCTCTCTCCATCGAACACCGGCACTGCTTGAAACATACAGATTGATTTTACTGATCGTGTCCCTCCCAACCGAACCTGGAGAGAGAAACAACGTTTACGGCGACTGTGCAGCTTCGATGGGATGAAGTAACTGTTAGACCTCAGATTGTGATTTTAATTACAGTATTTCATCCCAAGTCTTACTTGCATGTTCCAACTGCTGAAAATGGAGGTTAAAAAAAAGAAAATGTCCCTTGGCATCCTCCCCTCTAATGCAGGGCTATGTAAACTGCATTACGCGTGATGACGTCAGCAATCCCAAGACTGCCGGAGCCCAGGAGAGAAGAGGCTGCGGGGACCGGCATAGCAGCCCTGAGGAAGCCGGCAGGAGCAGGGAACAGGCAAGTAAATCTGCTTAACTCCAGTCCCTTAGACATAATTGAGCACTTAACCCTTTCAGTGCGGAGGTAACCCCACTACAAGGATATGTTGTTTGCTTGCCTGGAGATGGGCTTTAAGATAGGGGATGGTGCTCTGAAAAGGTATTATTCCAGAGAAAGAAGCACCTTCACCCGTCTGGGCCCCCGGCTTGGTGGTGCAGCGACAGGTGTGTGGTACCGCTGCAGAAAAGTCACAAGCGGCTCTGCTGGTGACGTCACACTAAACCCCGGTGTCACTTGTGTTTCGATAGAACATCTATCTTTGCCAAGGTATGCTCCGAACATATAAAACATTCCTTTTCATGTATTCCCCCCTCTGACTAACCCAGCAATACGTGAGAAAGAATGCTCTGTATCAGGGGTGGGCAACTCCAGCCCTCCAGCTGTGGTGTGGTGTCCCATGAGGCATTTCAAGACTGACAGCCATATGCATAACTCCAATAGGCATGTTGGGATTTGTAGTTAAAGCAAAGCTGGAGGGCCGGAGTTGCCAACCCCTGCCCTATATGCCCAAAGCTTCCCTTTTGAAACAGGTCAGAAGTAACCATGTCTTATGCTGGCCACAGACCTTACAACCATCGCAAGATGTTTGTCTTGCGATGGTTGTAAGGTAATTTAAAAAAAACGTACGTTCTGTCCATCTGGGACAGGCAGATCGTACTTGCGATAATAACAAGCCCTCCCCACCTAGGGGCGGGCTTCCGATGACCGCAATGCTGAACACCGCACGTGCGGCATTTATCTTAGGAACATGCTACACACCCACCGACAATCGTACGATTCTCGGCGGGTTTTCTAACATGTTCCTAAGATAAAAGTCGTGCGACTGTACAGTAGAAACGGTCGCACGCCTACCACACACCGTGCGATAATGGTACGATTGCGGGATTTCCCACAATTATCGTGCGATTATCGCAAGGTGTGTGGGCACCTTTAGTAACAGGGGCATTCAAATGTATTCCAGTGACTGCTCTTAGCAAGCGTTGACTGACGTACAATGGACTTTATTTGTATGGGTGGAGGGTTGATCTGCTGCAATGACATACTGTTAGTTTTCTATCCCTTGTAGAGTGTGTTGAAGGATTTGTTCTGTATATCTCGTTTATGAAAAGCATTCAAGGTGCCCGTCTGCTGAACATGGCACAACCAAAGCGGACTTAAGAAATAACCGACGTTGCAGGTTTCCAATAGAATTCCTCGCCGTATGAAAGCTGGAAAGGTTCTGACCGTAAGCTCGTTTCATAAACAATCACACTGCTTTCACTTTGCACTATTCTCATTGGCTTTTGGCCAGAGAACCGCGCCCAGACACATACCAGTCGCTGCGATTATCCCCGGGGCCGAATCCTTAGAGACAATGGGCATGACGCGACCCTGGGAGGCCACCTGACTGCGAGGCTGTGCCAAGTGCAGATGACAGTCCTTCGGGCTCTGCGAATACAGAATACATAGGAGACTGTGAGCCATAAAAATGAGAGTATACTGGACATGTGATTGATACAGAATGTCCATTTATTTCCCTCTAATGTCTGAAGATAAAGCTGTTATCTGACCAAAGGCGGTTTACATTTCCTCTTCATAATCATAAATGGGGTGATAAAGACGTATTTGGGGCACAGTTCCAATATTCTGCACGAGGAGCCAGAGATGATCAGCTATGCCACAGATGCCAAAATTGTATCTTCTCTGCCCCGTCTGTATCACCGTCACCAATGTGTGTATCATCAGCAAACTAATACACTGCAAGGTGACGACAGACTACAGGAAATAGACTTAACGGTGTATAAAGTGCAACTTGTTGACCATACAATCATCCCTCTAGGTCAGGGGTAGCCAAACTCTGGCCCTCCAGCTGTGGTGAAACTACAAATCCCATGATGCATCTCTCTCCGGGAGTCATGTCTGTGGCTGTGAGAATCTTGCAATGCCTCATGGGATTTGTAGTTGCACCACAGCTGGAGGGCCGGAGTTTGGCTACCCCTGCTCTAGGTGATCAATATCCGGTGCAAGGATCTTGAGCAAATTTTGTTGCAGATTCGTACACTATATGGCCAAATGTATGCGGACACCCCGCCAAATGATGTTCAGCGAAAAGTTCAGTACTAGAGATTACAAAATACATCGCAGACAATTGTGCTCTTCCAGCCTTGTGGTCACAGTTTGGTGAAGACCCTTTGCTGTTCCACCATGACTGTCCCCTGTGTATAAAGCCAGCTCCATAGAGACATGGTGTGACCAGCTTGGTGTGGAGGAACTGGAGTGTCCTGCACAGAGCCACGACCTCAACCCTACTGAACACCTTTGGAATGAATTGGAGTGTGTCATTGGTCTTCTCATTCAACATCAGGACCTGATCTCACAAATATCTTTTTGACTCAATGGGCACAACACTATCTATCGCTCTATTTGATATCTGCACCTCATAGCCAAATCGATATGGAGCCCCCTCCAAATGATAGAGTTCAGGTGTTTCCAGTGAAGGTTCTGTTATTTCTACCATCATACAAAGACATTGTAGACCATTGTGCTCTTCAAGCCTTGTGAACAACTTTGGGGTGAATTGGAACCAGATTGGAAGCTAGGTCTCCACATTCAACGTGGTATAATGGGTCAGGCGTGGAGGAACTGGAGGGTCGTGCAATGAACCCTGACCTCGGCCCTACTGAACACCTTTGGGATGAATTTGGAACACCAATGGTAAGCCGGGTCTTCTCATCCAACATCAGTACCTAACATCACAAGTGGGCACAAATTCCCACAGACACCCCAAAATCTTGTAACCAACACAATATGGTCGAAAGTATGTGAACACTCTTTTAAATGACAAACTTTAAGGTCTCGTTCACACCTAGGCGTATTGCATATGCGCGTCTGTCGCGCGTTTTTTTACCGCGATTTGCGGTAAAAAAGTTGCGCGACCGTCGCACATTTCCGAAGGCTACTTGGCTGTATCCCAATGGAAACGCAACAAAACGGCCCAAAGTAGTACCTGTACCTTTTCAGGCGTGGGCCGTTTTTTAGCGCGTTAGGGACGGGCGGAAATACGCCAAGGTGGGAACGAGACCATTGAATACAATGGGATTTATTTTTTTGAGCGTTTTGTAGAGCGTTCGCCGAGCGTAGAACGCGCTACAAAACGTTCAGGTGTGAACGAGGGCTTAGTGTCTCTGGTGAAGGTTCTGTTAATTCTACATCCTAAAAAGACATCGTAGACAGTTGTGTGCGGTAACAGTTTGGTGAGGACCCTTTTCTGTTCCACCATGACTGTCCCCGGTGCACAAAGCCAGCTCCATAGAGACATGGAGGGGAATGTATAAAAACTGGAGCAAACAAAATCTGTAGCAGTTGCCCAGGGCAACCAATCAGATTCTCTCTTCAGTCAAAATTTTAAAATGAGAGATAGAAGCCGATTGGTTGCCATGGATAGCTTGTCCAGATTTCGTCTGCTCCAGTTTTGATAACACCCCCCCCACCTTCCCCAAGTTTGATACCAGCATAAGATGGCACGCTGACAGCAGCACCGGGCAGGAACTCACCGGGCAGTGGGTGGTGTCCGTGTAACTGGTGTATCCCGGAGCCAAAATAAATTCCCAGGTCCCGCCTTTGTCGAAGGTGATGACGGTGGCCACGTTCTCTTTGGAGGGCGGTTTGTTTAACACGTTGGCGATGTATACGCCCTTAACGCCCTTCACGCGATGGACGTCGGCAAACGGCTCGTTCTCCAGATACCTGAAACCAGTATGAAAAGGAGTCAAACGCTTCCTGCCTGCAATCTGCGGCCTACAGTCTCCAGGCACGGGTCCTCGTCCTGAGGAAACGTTCATCTAGGAGAGCTACGGTCAAAACATCAGAAACCAATCGGCACGATTCCAGATCATGTGATCAACATGACACTGCGATCACATGAAGTGCGTTTGTTTCTAAACAAGCCTCTTATGTCTCCGGCTGACAAACCATTCGCTCCCGTGTCCACTTGCTGCGCACACAGAAAGATATATGAAATAATAACGTGTTAAGTACCTGACCAGAGTGTCCTTCCCCGATCCCGGATTGACGTAGATCACATTCTCCAGCGAGAGAGAAAAGCGCAGGCCCTCCACCTCCGATATGTACAGGTTGGTTATGTTGTTGCTGTGCGTGACGCATACAAACACCTGATCCTCCGAGGCATCCGTAATGTAATATTCCTGCCACAAAAAGTCCGCCGTTGATGAAGATAAATTGACCGCCGGCACTGAACATTATTGACTGCAGCCTGCGATCACATGACACAACCCAGCAATACTTACAGTGATTGGGTGGCGGGTGATGAACTGGGCTGATCTCATTGGCTTGCGGTTATACGAAACCCATAACTGCGCCGAGAAGGGGTCCTTACTGCCCAACAGATGCTGGAAGAACGGAACGCACATTGTTAGATATACAGCTACAGGACATGTACCCAGGTATTGTAGGCTGACAACACGGTGCCTCTGCTTTGTCAGCGCTGCCCAGTTCTCCCTTGCCTGACTACAGAACACCTATCCCTTGTGCTATGAAGATGAGCAGGGGGTGTTCTGTAGTCCAGCAGAGGAGAACTGTGCAGGGCTGAAAACACTCACAAGGCATATAGAGGAATAAACACCACTCCTTAGTACTGTGTGGTGGGTATGCGTGCCGCCCAAATGGCGCTCGCCCCCGCTCTTTATGCGTACAAAGAGTTCGGACACACTAATAACCTCAGCTGAAATAAACTTTTATTGTTCCAGACGATGGATACAGAAGGTCCGCCCTGCCCCTTCCCCACTCTGACGCGTTTCTCCCAAAGTGTTTAGTCAGAGTAACGAGCAAGCCTTTTTGGGTGAAACGTGTCACTGTGGTCTGTCCGGACCTTCTGTATCCCTTGCCTGGAACAATAAAGTTTTTATTCCAGCTGATGTCACTGGGGTGCGGTGGGACTCTTTGTACACAGGGCTGACAACACAGGGCAGTTGTCAGCTTACTACAGGAAGTTAGGTGCTCACTGGATTTCTGGCAGGCAGACAGGTAATTTTCTGTACCTGCAGCATTTTTAAAGGCATAAAACATGGGGGGGAGGGGGAGAGGAGGGGAAGGGGGAGGGGCATGTTCATGTATTGCGGAGCATTTTTTGTTTCTATTCTGCCCGGACACTTTTAATCTACAATACAATAAAAACCTGAACAGAAAGAAGCTCGCCTTTGTTTAATTACCCATAATCCCTCACCACGGCCAGAGATATGAACAGATGGTGGCTGCTTTGTGGATAGACATGTAGCATATGGACTCTGAATACACAACGGACTTTGTATAACAACATTACATTAAAAAGATAATCGCAGGACTGGAACCTGAAGGGAACCAGTGAGGGGGGCAATGTGGGAGCTGCCATTGCTGACGGGTGCAGGTTCTGCCTGATCCTCACAACCCAGCCAGCCAATCAAGTCTAAAAACTCCTAAACCTGTCAGAGAAATGATTCTGTAGGGAGGACGGGATCACAACGATGGCTTCAGACCCTGTTAAAGGAGAACTCTATCATTGTACACCGATCAGCCATAACGTTGTGAACACGCCCCTAATATTGAGTAGGTCCCCCTTCTCCTGACCCGTCCAGGCATGGACTCCCATAAACCTCTGAAGGTGTGCTGTGGTATCTGGCACCAAGCCATCAGTAGCAGATACTTTAAGTCCTGTAAGTTGTGAGGTGGGACCTCCATGGATCGGACTTTTTTTTCAGCACATCCCACAGATGATCGATTGGACTGAGATCTGGAGAATTTGGTGTCCAAGTCATTACCTCAAACTCGTTTTTGTGTTCCTCAAACCATTCTTTTTGCAGTGTGGCAGGGCTCATTATCCTGCTGGAAGAGGCCACTGCCATCGGGGAATACCGTGTCCATGAAGGGGGGGACTTGGTCAGTAACAATGTTTAGGTCGGTGGTACCAGTCCAGGTACCATCACATGAATGGCAGGACCCGAGGTTTCCCGGCAGAACATTGCCCAAAGCATCACACTGCCCCCGCCGGCTTGTCTTCTTCCCATAATGCATCCTGGTACCATCTCTTCCCCAAGTAAGTGACACACACCCGGCCATACACGACTCATCAGCCTTGTGGTCCAGTTCTGACGCTCATGTGACAATTTTAGGCACTTTTGGAGGTGCCTAAGCATGGGCACCCTGACCCGTCTGCAGATGCACAGCCCCATACACAACAACCTGCGATGCTCTGCGTGTTCAGACATCTTTCTATCAGAACCAACATTCACTTTATCAGCAATCTGATCTCCAGTATCTCTTCTATTGGATCGGACTACACGGGCCAAACTTCTTCCCATCACTGAGCCTTGGCCACCCATGACCCTGTCACCAGTTCACCTTCCTTGGGGCACTTTTGGTGGGTCCTGACCACTGCAGACCGGGAACATCCCACAAGAGCTGCCGTTTTGGAGTTGCTCTGACCCAGTCATCCAGTCATCACAATTAGTGATGTGCTCGGGCGTGTTCGCAGCTCCACGTGCCGAGACCGCCATGAAGCTGACAGTGCCAATCACAGGCACTGAGACATGTTCCCGGTCCGCAGCTGCAGAGATCGGTAAATGGCTCAGTGCCTGTGATTGGCCCTGTGCGCTGACAGCTTCCTGGCGGGCTCGGCACGTGGAGCTGCGAACACTCCCGAGCCCGTCACTAATCACAATTTGGCCCTTATCAAAGTCCTTCAAATCCTCACACTTGCCCATTTTACAATGTTACGACCAATCAGTGTATAATTATTCTTTGAGCTGCACGAATGCCCTAAGTTGTGCTAAAGTGGCTTGTCAATATTATCACACTGGGCCTCAGGGGGAGGGGCCATGACACGCTACATTCTTCCCTAGGCAATGGGCGTCATTAAACCCAAAAGACTAAGGACATCTTGTGGCGAAGAAGAGGTAGTACAGAGGGAATAGCTCCAGACTAACCCTGAGTACTGCAGCCAGAGCTCCTTTTAAAACCCCCAGGAGTCTGGAATTGTGCTTTAGGTCTAGTTCACACCAGAACTGAGTGCATCTGCGCAGCGCAATGCGTTTTGTCACGAATTTGACGCTTTTTTTTAAGCTTAAAATGGGCTTTCAGGTGCAGTTAGTGCAATTGCATGCATTTTTGATGCGTTCTGTTTCAATCAGGTGCAGCTATAATGAGACAAGTAGTATCTTTTCTGACTGCACTGGTGTGGACGGAGCACCAGAAATCCCATAGGAAAGCATTGCGACACAATTTTGATACAGCTGCCAAACTGAACGGCATCCGGTGTGAACCAGCGCTCCGGGGTTACAGAGCTACACGCCATCTCAGTTCTGATTTCACGGTCTGATTGCTGTGCATGCCGAATTAGTCTGAGGAGGAAGAGGATGTGGGTTCATGGGGAGACAAGTACAAATAAAATCAACAATGTGAAAAAGGAAGCGGTATACTTTTCGCTTTACTCATCTCATCCAAAACCCAATTTAAAATACAGCCGCACACAAAACAGGAAAAAGCTAAATAATATGTTGTAAGCTGACCTCCGTCCTTCCCTTCAGCCTTCTACCTGACCTCTGTCCTCCCCTTCAGTCTTCTATCTCACCTCCGTCCTTCCCTTCAGTCTTCTATCTCACCTCCGTCCTTCCCTTCAGCCTTCTATCGGACCTCCGTCCTTCCCTTCAGTCTTCTCTCTGACCTCCCTTCAGTCTTCTCCCTGACCTCCGTCCTTCCCTCCAGTCTATCTGACCTCCGACCTCCCCTTCAGTCTTCTATCGGACCTCCGTCCTTCCCTTCAGTCTTCTCTCTGACCTCCCTTCAGTCTTCTCCCTGCCCTCCGTCCTCCCTTCAGTCTTCTCTCTGACCACCGTCCTTCCCTTCAGCCTTCTATCTGATCTCCGTCCTTCCCTTCGTTCTTCTCTTTGAACTCCGTCCTTCCCTTCAGGGCCCAGTCACACCATAAGGAGTGTGTTCCAGAGCGTTCGGCCTCTGGAACACACTGGAGCACAACCGCACCGCAGCCTCGCCCCCCCCCACACGTAATGTGATCGCCGGCACCTAAAAGCGGGTCACGCTAGTACATGTACATCCGGCGGGGGCGTGGCTGCGGCGCCATTGACTTCAATGCACAGCCACGCCCAGTCCAGCCCCAAAACAAAGTGAGGCGGCGGAGTTGCGTTCCAGAGGCCGAACGCTCTGGAACGCACTCTATATGGTATGACTGGGCCCTCAGTCTTGCACAGTTGTACCGCCTCCTCTCCTCATCCTCTGATATCACTGCACACTGGGAGCTCCTCACAATGTGCATTAGAAGCTGCAGCAAGTCCCTGGCCCCGCCCCTTTCATTCATTGGATTTCAGTTCTTTTAACCATGGAGGCTCGGCATGACATGTGGGCGTTAACAAGGATCTGCATTTAAATACAGTCTGCCTAGAAAACCCCGCCCCTCATGGCACCCGTACCACTCACCACCGTCTTCGTGGCGAACATGTAACTCTCCCGGAGCTGAAAACCGTCCACGTTCTCGATTATGATCTCCGAGTTGTCCCGAGACTGGAAGTAGTCGGTGCTGCGCAGGACGATGGAGGTGCCGCGAGGCTCGTGGCGTTCAACGTAAACCGTGTTCGGCTTGTCAAGAGGAGCGAGACCCCTGATCGGAAAAACAAAATACAGATCAATGTATCAGAAAATGATCAATAAGGGAGCAGGCTCTGCATTATAAAGTCATTAACCCCTTCACCCCCAGACCACCCCAATCCTGCATTACCCTAATAGCTGCAAGCATATCGAACAGGTTCAACAAAATACACCCGCCTCCTGCATCCGCCCCCTGACATCACAGCAATCGTAGGCAACCATTGGTGGATTGACTACAAAAGGATTACTGTGTCCCTGCCCCCTCCCCTCTCTGATTGGAGGAGCACATTAATAAGGTCATTTCAACAATCTCCTTCACTGCAAGCAAGTTCACAGTGTTCGACGGTCAGCCCTGTGCAAAGCAACAAGAGTCCTGATTGGCCCTGAATGCCGCGCCGCCCTCTCCCATCTGCTGCACAGAAGATTGCAGGAAGCTAATATAAAAACAGATCTATGCTAGTTCATTTGTTTCATATAATAAATATATAAAAATCCAGTTTGTTTTTTGGTTTGCCTGCTTTATGTGTGGGAGTCTATGGAGGGGGGGGGAGCCAAGTACCGGTTTGCACAGAGGAAGACGTCATCATGTTTGGCATGCTCATCCCACCTACCAGTAAAAAGACTTCACGTGTTCCTGGATCATTATCCACGTCTGACCGAAATCCTCCGACTTCCACAGCTGTGAAAGGAAGAGAGATGAGGCAAGGTGAGGTTCTGTGTACAGCACGTAGGAGGGGGGGGGGGTTTGGGGCAAACTGCGGCCCTCCGGCTGTGGTGAAACCACAAATCCCATCATGCATATTGTGTGTCATGCCTGTGGCTGTTAGAGTCATGAGAGTTGTAGTTGTATCACAGCTGGAGGGCTGGAACTTGCCTATCCCTGACCTAGAA